GCCTCTCTCCTAAAGTCCTCACTGGGTGGAAGGTGACTTGGAACCTCTGCTGGGTCCTCACTCATGGGTCCAGCATGGTGTTGCCCTCTTGCTCTCACTGTTCCCAGGACTTTGGGGCCTGGTGAATAACACCGCCATCTCCATGTCCACTGCACCCAGTGTGTGGCTGACCAACCAGGACTTCGTGAAGATACTGGACGTGTACCTGTTGGGGGTGATCAAGGTGACCCTGAGTCTGCTGTCCCTAGTGCGGAAGGCGAGGGGCCGTGTGGTCAATGTCTCCAGCGTCACGGGCCGCGTGTCTCTCTGGGGTGGAGGTTATTGCATCTCCAATATGGCATGGAGGCCTTCTTGGACTTGGACTCCCCCAGGTTATGGCCTGGGACAGAGACCCTCCCCCCACCCCCTTGGTCCTTCTGCTTCTGTGCTTCTGGGAGAGTCTTTTACAGGGGGTTCCTTTCATCACAGACTTAGAGTTCTTTTTTCCAGAACTTTCTCTCTTGCTTTTGCCAGGCATTCATTGGGAAGCTCCTTTCTAAGTTCTTGGTGTCAGGATGGACTTGGCAACTGTAGAGTTTGAATGAACTTACTCTGCCCTGGAAGTTGGCCCACACTCAGAAAGTGAGGTAGAATTGTCACCGATACAATTTGGCTACAGTGTGCTCCACCTACATTACTGCTATGATATTAGGTTGAGGGAGCCTTGTTTGCAGTGTAACCCCATGGAAGCAATTAATCAAGGAAAGTAATTAATCATATCAGCAGTAGAGACCCTACTGGCTGCAGGGCTGAGGATGGCTCTGAATATGGGGCAGGGAAGTGATCCCAGGTAGGGAGATGCATTTTAGGGTCCAGTTACACCAGCCCAGCTGATAAATGGCCAGGCAGTAGACTGGTTAGGATAGGGAAGAGAGGAAATTGAGTGTGAAGGGGATAAAATATAAAAAGCCTGGTGATCAATTGGATGTGAGGGGAATATGAGGAGATAGCACTTAAGTGGTACCTTGCAACTCAACTGGTAGGATTTAGAAGCATAAGCACATGTATATAAAATATTTGGAAAAATATTCAAACTCTATACAGAATAACATCATCATGAGAGTTCTCCTTCTGGCTTTTCTGTACTTCACAACCTCCCAGAGTTTCCTGCTTATCGCACTGCAATCCTGTGTGTGTGTGTTTTTGTGTCTTGGTTCATAAAAACTCTGAAGTCTTTGCCCCTCTGCCTGCCTCCCTTGCAGGAAGGAGCTCTCCTACTTTGGGGTGAAGGAGGAGATGATCGTGCCTGGTTACTTCAAGACCTTTGTGACCAGCCCTGAGGCAATTTCTCGGGGCCTCCAGGCAGCATGGGATCAGGCCAGCTCAGAGGTCAAGGAACTCTATGCGGAGACATTCCTGGCCTCAGGTGAGTGAGTTGTGGACCTTGGAGAGAGAAGCAAACCCTTGTCTGGAAGCCTGGGTCCATCATTAGCACCTCCTCCAGTCTCAGGTCCATCCTCCAGGCTCTGACTCACCCACACAGTGGCCACATGAGCTCCATCCCCAGGATCCCATGTGGTCAACTGGTGACCTAAGGAAAGGATCCAGGCTTGGTAAACCTGGGAACCACTGTCTCATCTGAACCCCTTGTTATTTTGGGAGGAAACTGAAGCCAGAGAGGATAGACACCTGTGGACTCATGGCAAACTGACTTTAGAGCAGCTGGTTTTCATGTGCTTAGATTTCTAGTGTTTATAGAAAGATCCAATTTATGTATTGGATATTCTCAGAAGTAGAGCCAGAGGTCGCTTAGTGTGGAACAGTTATCCCTGGGGTAAGAATTTGGGCGCTTCTTGGAGAATTTGAATGGATTAGTTTGGGACATGGGTTTGTGGCGGTGGGGCAGGGAGAGGGCAGGATTTCTTAGAAGGTTCCTTCCCATATTAGAGCTGTGAATTGGAAAGGAGGGATGTGGAAGTATATAAGGAAACTTTCATCTTGAACAGACATCAAAATAACTGAAAATATTTTCAAAAAATGCAAGTTGAATCTCTGTCCTTGGTCATGAACTTCGTGAACGTGCTCTGACCACCTGCCACCCACGCACCTGATGATACTCACCTGACTGGGATGTCAAGCTCATCTACTTCCCAAGAGCTACATACCCTCCTTCCTGATGGATGCCATGGTCTACTGGAGCTCCTCAAGGGCCAGGGCCCTGTGAAGTCGAGATTGGGGTGTATGATGCTTCAAGAGAAGGGAAAGAAGGTGGAGGGAGGGAGCTTTCCAGTCTCTAAGGTCATGCAGCTCATCCTCCTCCTTATCTCTACTCCAGGCTTCTTCTGAGGCTCTGGGGATATTAGGAAGAAAGGACCAAGTTTTGCAGCTGAGGAACAGGGAGACACATCTGTGCCCTGGTCCTTGAGCAGCCTCTCAAGGCTCTGAGCCTCATGGCCCTCCTGCCACCCTGAGGAATCTGCACTGTTCGGAGGGTGTGAGCCGCTGGGAGCGGGCTCAGCCCCACCTGCTCTGCCTCTGTTCATCTCCTCAGAGTGTGCCTTCGTTTCCTCATCTCACAGGATGGAAATGGCCTGGAAGAGGCAAAGGGTCCTCTCTCCACTGAAAGTACCTGTGAGCAGGGGTTGGGGATGCACAAGGCAACCACCAGCCTGACCCATCAGCCTCATGTGCCAGCTGAATAAGGAGGCCACTCATCAGAGCGGGCAGCATTCTCAGTCCTAGGAGAAGAGCCCTCTGCGTGGTCCTGCAGCCCCCCCCCAACCCCCATTCCATAGCCTGCATTTTTCTAATGTTGGGAGTTTGAGTCCAGGGAAGTGCTGCTTGAGCCAGCAGTCAGCAGACAGGCCCATGAGATGGTGAGTCAGGCCCAGGCCTGCGCTGGGACAGTTCCAAGTCATTCTTTTTCAGGTCTAGTGACAAAACCCTGGATCTCACCAACTGGGACTGTCTGAAGAACTGGGACACTCCTGGGCCTGCTCAGCCCTTGAGTGACATTGTCTGACTTCTTCCAGCCAAGACTTCCTTGTTCACTCACCAAGGAGGCAGACAGACTTCTGAGATGCCCCCCAGACCCACTGTAGGCAGTGCTGTGCCTTGGGGTGGGTATGAAGTAGGTGAGGTTCGCCTCCACCTCCCACCTCCTACCTCCATACCCTGCAGGCTTTGGGTCTGCTCCCCAGGGCTGGGTCCATGAACTGACCCCCACCCCCCCTACTCCCACCACCCTTGGTACAGAATGGCCAGACTCTCTGAGATTTGTGGTGACATTCTGGAGCTGACTAACCTTGGTAGGTAGATAGCATAGAGCAGAGAGACGCATCCTTTTCCCTTCACTCTAGAGAACTTTGTGGCCCCATTTCTGTGTCAGACCCTCTAGACAGGGACGGTGTAGGCAGTTGTCCCGGGTCCCTCAGGATGAACCTGGGCTCTTTTCTCAGGCCTATCCTGAGACATGGTGACCCTAGAGGTTTATCCAAAGAACCACCACAAACTCCAGCATAATTCTGTCTCCATGTTTTATGCAGCCCTGGGCATGGCCCCTCACTACTCATACCTCTGTCTCATATCCTTGCTTCCTTTTCTTTACTGGCTTCCCTTCTACCTTTCTGTGTGTTCTTTGTTCCATTGCCTGGAATCTCTCCCTTCCCTCCCAGTCCTGACCCTGAGAGTTTTCTAAGTCCCTGACCCCGGTCCTCTGCTCTTCCCATATGTCATCCCCTCTCGGGGCCAAGGACTCGGCCCCAGGCCCTTCCCACAGCGGCCCAGGGCATTCATGAGCCATCCTCATCATCTGGCTGGACCTCAGTCTCAATGATGCTTATCATCTAGCTCGGCCTCAGTCTCAGTAATGCTCATATCAGAACTCTCTATTCTCCTGCCTCTCTCCCTACGCCCAAAGTGTCTCCTCCTGACTTTTCTTGACACCCGGGGTTCTACCTGTTATCAGAATCATTTGACTCCTGGCCTCCCTTCCCTCTGCATTTTCCATGAGCCACTGTGTCAGTTGACTGTACAGTCCCTTCCTTTCACGGACATCACCCCCCTTCAGGCTCCTCAGCTCAGCCTAGCGTGTATCTGGTCCTGGAGGTAGAAGAAAAATGCTCACTGGGGGTCCTGCCTGGGGGAGCTTCTGTGTCCTCGGTCCTTGACTCCCTCCATTTACCTGGTTGCTGGGTGAGGGGGGTGCTGGACCCGCTTGGAGTGCAGTGGGGACTCCTCATTGGTGACCTGAGCATCACCTCCCCAGGACCCAGGCCCTGAGCCCGTCAGGGGTTTCTGCTTTCTGGGAGTTGGGGCCTCACATAACCAGTTTCCCTTAAGCGGGGGCCTGCTGCCTCTGACCTCAGGACAACGGAGGCACATCCACCCTGGGGCAGACCCTTTATTTCTCATCATCTCTCGCAATGGAGACTCACCTAAGGACAGAGAATTCCAAAGAGCTGATAACCTGGAATTCTCTTGGGGTTTGGAGGGCACAAAACCAATTTTGTTTGTTTTGCATTAGTGAATTTGTCTTAATTTTTCCACCGAAATAACAGTTACATTTCTTCACATGCCCGCATTCATGACAAAGGATTTTGATCCCTGGGCTGGAAGTGGGGGATTTCCAGGAGGGTCCTCTGGGCTGAGTCCTCCTTCCTTCTTTCCTCTGCTCAGACCACCCAGGGGAGCCACTTCTCAGCACTAACATCACCACTGTGGTTTTTCCCATCCTTGGCATCTTCACCCATTACGGCTGGGGGAGAGAGAGAGGGAGCTACCAGGGCTGTCTGAAGTGACAAAGCTTCAGGTTGGACTTGAACTTCTTGCATCTAGGCAAATTGGCATGGTGATGCATCCACCTATACAAGTTATAGAGTGGCTCACCCAGGGGCCGTGCATCTGTCGCCGGCAGCAGAAGGGAGGAGAGCCCTTCTCAACAGGCTCCAGCAGACTGGGGCTCAGAGGACCAGCCTCTCCTGCTATCTTCTGAGCCCGATTCTTCTTGGCCATCACCTCTCCCCTCTGCCATGGCGGCTATCACGGACCTCTCCTTTATGGACTTGTATGTTCAAGAACTGCAATCTGGTCCGCAACCTCTCGGACAAGTACGTCTTCATCATGGGCTGTGACTCGGGATTCGGGAACCTCCTGGCCATGCAGCTGGTTGATCGGGGCATGCGGGTGCTGGCTGCTTGCTTCACTGAGGAGGGGGCCCAGAAGCTTCAGCAGGATACCTCCTACCAGCTGGAGACCACCATATTGGATGTCACCAAGACTGAGAGCGTCAAAGCAGCAGCCCAGTGGGTGAAGGACCAAGTGGGAGAGCAAGGTGGAACGAATTGCATTCCTTGGCTTTCTCAGTTTATCCTTCTTTTTCTCTCTTTCTCCTGCAGGTATCTGAGAGTTATCAGGGACCCTGTTGTTCAGATGGGATGGGAGAGGTGATGTAGAGAAAGGGGCCGGGCCTGTAGCTCAGTGGGATTGGACCTGTTGCAGGGTTTGGACTGTCCACATGGAGAGGTGATTTCCCAAGGAAGTTTTCTTTCCCAGAAACTCAGAGGGTTAGCAGGGTTTGGGGGAGGTTGCGCTAGAAGTTCAGGGAGGGAATATGCATTCCGTCTGTCGGAAAGGTGGAGTTGCCTCACTGGGACTTTGGTAGTCCTAACTATCAGCTCCTATAAAAATGTGAGCACATTTCTTGTCGGGATCAGGCTAGGGGGAGGAGAGAGGGAACATGAGGTTGGACTCCCTGAGTGGGAACATTTGCTCTCCTTGACTGTGTCGGGCTAGACTGCAGGGTGGGGAGCGAGATCTCTCCTCTTCGTCATATCATGATGGATACCAGATTGACCTAAGGGTAAGTGCCTATGTCAGGGTGGCTGCCCTTATTGGGAAAGGAGGCTGTGGGCTAGGGATGGACTAGGACTGAATGGGGACCCACCCAGGGATCTTCCCACACGTGAGATGTGGGAGGAACAGGGTGACTCAGTTGTAGAAGGAGCAGCCTGGGGGAAGTCCTGACTCCTGAGGGAGCTCATCTGGGGTCTGTGCACACGAGTCAGGGCAGGAGAGCTCTGGGGCCCAGGAGGGGCAGACAATAACTCTTGCTTTATTTTCCTCCTTGGCATCTACCGCTATCCAATATTCAATCTATTTTACTTATTTTTCTTATTTATTTTCTATTTCTCCTGCTAGAATAAAGCTTCTAGTGGGGGAGGTGTTTTTCCTTTTATTTATTATATATCCTTAGTGCTTAGAACAGTGTCTGGCATCTAGTAAGGTGCTCAATAAATATTTGTCAAATGAACTAACTTATGAATAATTCAGCAAGAATCAGTTTCTTTCTTCACCAGGCTGCCTCCGCCCAGTGCCCTACATTCAGCTTTGAGCCACTTGCGTTAATGACTCCCTGGGTTTATTAATTAGTTTCCTATCGCTGCTGTAATAAATGACACAAAGTCGGTGGCTTAAAAGAGCACAAATTTATTATCTTACAGTTCTGGAAGTCAGAAGTCCCAAATGGGTCTCACTGGACTAAAATCAAAGTGTTAACTGAGCTCTAGGGAAGATTGCATTTCATCGCCTTTTCCAGCTTCTAAAGGCCTCCTGCATTCCTTGGTTCATGACTTTCTTCATCTTCAAGGCCGCAAGGTTGGGCTGAGTCTTTTTCAGGCTGCCATCTCTCTGGTTCTCTGTCTTCTGGCTCCCTCTCCACTTAGAAGGACCTTTGTGATATATTGGGCTTGCCAAGCTAATCCACGATAATTTCCCCATTTTAAGGTCAGTTAAGCAATTTAAATTTCATCTGCTACCTTAATTCCTCTTTCCCATGTAATCCACCATATTCACAGGTTCCAGGGATTAGTATGGGGACATCTCTGGGGGGCCATTGGGCAACATCTTTGGTCTAAGAAGCACTGGGAAATGGGAGGAAGGGATACTTGCATGCTTTCTTTTTGCCCCTCAGGGTCTCTGGACATGACAAGTTGGCATGACCCTAAAGCTGTTCACACTGTTTTGAAAGTTCTCTAGCTCTCTTTGCAGGAAAAAAAAAAAATTAAAGTTGTCCTGGTTTGCCAGCAGGCAGAGCTATTTACCAGGGATGATCAGAGGTAGCAGCGAGTGTGTGTCTCTTCTCCACAGGCAGAGACCACTCGGGTTTTACAGTCTTTGGGTCTCAGCAGCTCATTTCTTCCACTGTAAGACAAGAGTCTCCCCTAGCTGGGAAGGCTCTGCGTCCTGCCAGCCAGTTGGTCTCCTGGGGTCTCTACTTGGAGGAAGGCAGAAAGATAGGATGGGGACACAGCTTGTGTGGGGACCCCAGGCCTAGGGGAAGGGGTGAACCATGATTAGTGTTTACGTCTAGACCTGCCCACGTGTGTGTGGAAGAGTATCTTGAGGCTACAGAGGCCAAGGTGGGGTAGTGAGATAAGGGGAGGGAAAGGGAAGGAACCCCAAGTCCTTCCCCCAAGTGGAATTTTACTTGGAACCTCAGTATGTAAGACAAATGAAAATTGAGGTTCTCCTGCATCTCCCTTCCTTATCAGGTTCTGGGGTTCAGCCTGAAAGCTCTCAGGACTGCAAACCACAGGTTGGAAACAACTGTCCTAATCCACTCAACAGTGAACCTGAGGCCCAGGGAAAGGAAGTGACCTGTCCAAGGCTGGAGGTAGAACCAGGACTAGAACCTGAGGCTCTTCAAGCCTGGCTCTTGCAGAGCTGAAGGACAATACCTAGCAATATTTCTCTCCATTTATACCAACTCAATTTAAATATCTCAAAGGGAGCCCTTTTCACATTTTTCCAAAATTATTTTATTTAAATGTCTTCTGTATTTGTTTATAAGTCTTATTTATTTCTTCTCTGGTTTCTGAGATCACTGAGGATTAAGACCATGTTTTGTTCATTTAATGTCTCTAGCACCTTCCTCTGTAACTGACAGATGCATGAAATGAATGAATGTGTGAATGGATGAATGAATGAATGAACAGAGTAATTTTGGTAATGTGTGAAATGGAGTTGGTTTCTTACACTCAGGTGAACAGAGAGGGGGAAGCATGATGGGGGAAGGAATTGAAACATTAATTCATTGGTATGAAAATGAGATCTCTTTTCCCAGAGCCAATAGCTTAGATGCTATTAGCTAAAGCCTGGATTGTAGCTGGTACAGTGTCCAGCTAGCTGGCAGACTGCGTGAATCAGAAAAACTGCCCCTTTAGGGAAAACCCATGAGTAAAATGCCCATGTTCCTTTGGGCTGTCATAGCTCCCCACCCCACGCTGCCAGACTGGCTGTCTTGTGCCTTGTGACATGCTCAACCATCCTCAGCAGCCCTGAGCTGGGGGTTCGTGGACGCTTGTGCTTTTCCAGAAACACTGCTGATTTTTGTCTGGTTCTCCCTCCCTCCACTGCGCCCCCAGGCCTCTGGGCCCTGGTGAACAATGCTGATGTAGGCCTGCCCAATGGTCCCAATGAATGGCTGACCAAGGAAGACTATGTGAAGGTGATCAACGTGAACCTGGTGGGACTGATCGAAGTGACTCTCCATAAGCTGCCCATGGTCAAGAAAGCCCAGGGCAGGGTCATCAAAATGTCCAGCTCTGGTGGCCATGTGGCTATCACTGGTGGCGGCTACTGCGTCTCTAAGTTTGGCGTCGAGGCCTTCTCTGACAGCATCAGCTGACCAGGCCCAGGTGCCAAACCATTCAGGGTAGGAGTTCTGGGGGTTTCACCTTAGGAAGAGAGGGCTGGGTGGGGGCACCCTGTGGGCAGGGGAGATCTGGAGAGAAGATGCTAAAACAGTAGCAGGAGGAAGGCTAGACCTCCAGGGGCCTTCCTCAGGGACCCAGAGAAGAGGGATGAGAAGAGGTGGGGTGGTGATGAGCAGCCTTCCCTTGGCTGTCTCAGAATAAGCAACACGCTGCTTGGGCCTGTGGGAGTAGGAGGGAGAGTCCTCCAAACAGACGGAGAGGTCTGGGGGCAGATGTGCTATGGGCAGCCCTCCGAGAAGGATGCAAGCCTTGCATAGATCCCTTCACTCCTTTGCCACCTAGGCATTGGGGGTGGGGCTGAGTGGGTGGGACCTGGTCGGAGCAAGGCTTTAGTCTAGATTCCTCCCGGCTAGGCTGGCCTAATGTGAATTGTCCAGAGACAGGCTTGGGAAAGGGCTTATTTGCATGAAAGCAGTGCTGGGCCTGGTGCAGGGGTGGGGGGCACACCTCCAGGTTCCTGATCTCTGGAGATCAGCTCCTCTAGAGGTGTCAGAGGTGACTTTCCCTGATGATCCTTTGTCATCGTGGAGTCCCAGACTGAGTCCAGCTCTTCTTTCCCAGGCGTGAGCTCCACTACTTCGGGGTGAAAGTCAGCATCATTGAGCCGGGGAACTACCAGACATCCATTCTGGGCAAGAAGGACCTGGAGGGCACGGAGAAGAGCATGTGCAAGCTGTGGGAGCGGCTGCCTCAGGAGACCCGCGAGAGCTATGGAGAGGAGTACTTCCATATCTGTGCGTTCCCCAGGAGAGAAAGGGGTCTCTGAGAGGGATGGAAAGGTCTTGGGGGTCGCTGACCCACTTTCATTTTACAGATGATGGAATGGAGGCTTAGAGGGGTTATGAGCCCAGGGCCACACAGCTGGTGGCAGAGCTGGGATTTGAGAACTGCTGGGGGAGTGACAAAACCATAGCTGCGGGGAGATGGGGGTGTTAAGAGAGATGCTGCCCACCCGCCCCTGGCACCTGCCTTCCCCCCAAACATCCGTATGCAGGTGAATCAGGTGAAAATGCACTGCCATGAGTGCAGAGAAGTTATTAAGAGCACAGCTACTTGAGCCAGACTGCCTGGGTTTGAAGCCTGGCTCTGCCACTTACGGGCTAGGAGGAGACTTTGAGAATGTTACCTAGTCGCCTTAAGCCTCAGTCTTCTCATCTATAAAATGGAGTTAATGATAGTGCCTACCTCACAGTGCTGCTGTGAGGATTAATCTCTGTGAAGTCTCTCTCATGCACTAAGTGCTTGTCCAATCAGTAAAGAGGAAAATCACACGAATGTTTTAAAGGAAGGGGCTCTGGGAGTTCTCTTTCTCCCTGGCCTAAGAGTCTCCTGTGAATCTCAGGTGTTTCTGGAGAGTAGAGGAGGGACATCACAGCTGTTTACTATATTGTCCCAAACTCACAGTTTGGGGAACTCTTCCAGTTTGAGGGATGCACGGAGCCCCCACCATTGGAGAACAAGAGGAGGGGTGGCCTGCAGGTGCAGCGGAGGAGGGATTGGCCAAAAGACCTGGTGGAGTACCTCGTGGTAGGGAGAGGCCTATTCTGAGGACTGGGCGGCCCCATATTCACTCAGAGCCTCTAATCCCAAAGCCAAGCCAGTTGGTTTCAGGAGAGGATCATTCACAAGATTTCCTGCTTCTCTCCACTTCTCCCCTCCAAGTGCCTGGAGGGGGAACAGCCCCTCAGGGCCACCCTTGGAGCTGCCCTTGTGTGGGACAGAAAGGGGGGGCTGGCATTTTTCTGGCTCAGGAGGGTCCCTCGGTCCAGAGTGAAGCAGCCGGCTCTCAGCCCCGTCCTGCTCCATTTGGGCCTCAGTGGCCTAGTCATATATTTCCCTAACCCAGATTTTTTTCCCTCTCTTTTACTTGACTTCCATGAACATCCCTGAGAGGCAATTTCCTGTTGTGGTTTTAAGCTCTTAGACTCTGAAACTAGGCTGCCTGACTGTAAATTTCATCTCTCCTGCTTGCCTTGGGCCAGTTGCTCAGTTTTCTCATCTGTAATGGGTTATAAAAATTAAATGAGTTAATATATAAAAAGTGCTTAGAATATTATCTGCTTCCTGGTAGGAACAATTTGATTTAAAAGTTTGTTGTTTTTATCTATTACCAGTGTAATAGAGAAAAAGAGCATGGCCTCCTTTTCTCTAGTACACTGGTACCTGCGAGCTGTGTTGCAAAGAGATATTCTTAACTAGCAATCATCCAAAATCCAAAGTGATGAATTTTAAACATATACCCAGAAACTCTGAATGGGCTAAATATAATCACTCAGTTAAATTAATGGCAGGTATCTAACTGTCTGGGGGGCAGGGGTGGTTATTTTAGTGAATTGCTCTCCTAGACCTCATACATCCACAGAGTAAAAAGCCAAGACACCATAACTTAAAAACCATAACAGCCATTTATTCACCTAATGCACATTTTATTGAGAGCCTACCACATGCCAGGCACTGGGTAGGGCCGGGGGTGAGAGTGGACAAAGCAGCAGGGCACACAGCTGGCTGCCTGCAGCTTAAGGCCCAGTGGAGGAGATAGATCTTAATAACAACACACACATTTAGTGACAAATGTGGATAATGACCATGGGAAGAAACACAAGGCCATGAAAAAAAGAATAGGGTTGGGAGTGGGGCCCCAGTTTAGATTATGGTGTAGGGAGGGCTTCTCTGAGTTGACTTTGGGGAAGAATAAGTTAGGCATTGTTGGAAAGTGGATAGGCAAGAAAGTTTTTTCAGGAAGGCCCTGAGGCACTGAGTTCCCTTAGAGGAACTTTAAGGATACCAGAGGGTGGGGAGCAGTGCGGGGGGAGCAGAAGAGACCCAGGATAAATTAGAGCATCAAAGCACACTGAGGATTAAGGATGTGATCTGATTTGTGATTGGGAAAGCCTGCTGTGGTTGCTGCAGTATTCCAGGCTACACATGTTGGTGGTTTGGGCTACAGAGAAGTGGAGGAGATGGAAAGAAGTTGATAGATGCCCGGTGTGTATGAGACCTCCTGGTACCGGGAAGGAGAGAAAGCCATCCAGGACGAGTGCTAGGTTTAGTTCAAGAAACCTAATGGGTGGAGGCATCATTCATTCATTGATTTAGGGAAAAGTCAGGGAGAAGTATTTGGAGAAGTATTCCTTGGGGAAAGTAATCTTTCAGTTCTGGACATATTAGAATTCTGTGAGGAGAAGTAAAAAGTTCTGAGGATCAGTTAGGGCTTTCTCAGTTACAGGTGACAGAAAATCCAGCCCAAATCATTTAAGCAGAAAAGGAATTTCTTGATGCTTATTACTAAAAAGTATAAGGATATGGGCTTCAGGCACTGCCTGATCCAGTCCACAAATGATGTTCTTAGGACCTGCTTTCACCCTATTTCTTTTTTTTTTTTTCAGTACTTATAGATTTATTCAGGCCTGTTAGAGGTCTTAAAGTAACCAGGAATTGCAATAAATATTTGAACAGAGGGCTGGATGTTTCAAATGCTAAATAAATCGATAGAATTAGAGCTAATACACCAGCTGTGCTAATCCATGTGACTGCCCTTTGTCTTGTGCTCACTCAGCTGACACTTGTCCTTTACAATCCAGCCGTGGTAAACCCTTCACTAGCTGAGGAAAGCTCTATTTTCATTTCAAATCACCCTATTTCTTGGCTCTGCTTCTTCTGTACTAGCTTCAGGCTTACAGCTCTCTCCCCTGTTGGTGGGGTCCCATGGCTGCAGCATCTCCTCATCTCCTCCCGGGATAGTCCTTTCCAGTAGCTCCCCCAAACGGTCTGAGATTTACTCTGACTTGGTGGGCCAATGATGGCAGGAGCAGAGGGAATTGCAGGATGTACTCAACCCTGAGCCCATCACTGTGCCCGAGGAAATGTGAAGTTCTGATTGGCTCAGGCTGGGTCATGCACTCTACCTAGACCAAAGGACTCAGAATGGAAGAGGCATGGATTCCCAGAGAGAAATCTGTAGCTGTTGCTACAAACAAGGGGAATAGCTGTTTGGGGGTTGGGGGGAGGATAATATATATTCCCTGTGAGTTTCCCCTAAAACTCTCAGTTAGCAAAGAATGATCCAAATTATTTATGGGGTCACTATGAGGCTGGGGTGAAACACAGACTCAGCCAGTATCTGGAAACCTCACAAAGGCATTTTCTAAGTAGCTCAATGCAGGCAGAAGCTGTAGAGTCTTCAGCGAGGTCCATAAAAGAATGTGTAGAAAGGCGAACTTCCTCTGAAAACCACTGTTGAAAAGCTGATGTTCTTCAGAAGAAAAGTAAGGGTTGGGTTATAAAATACTATAGGCTGATTCATCTGTAGTTCTCTCCACGATTTCAGAGGAAAATTTTTATGCAGGCATTTGACTACTTTTAGATAAAAAATTTTCCAAGTGATCATACTCTAATTTTTACTTCAGTTTTACTAGTGTTTACTGGGATACACAAATGAGACAAAAATCTCTAGGAATCTAGAAGGGGAGGTCTGAAAGCAAGTATAACGCCACACAAATTGTGCAACAATGGACATACATACAAAACAAAGCAACTACTGAGCCTGAGCGTCTGGAGCTACTGCTCCGCAACAGGAGAGGCTGCGACAGTGAGAGGGCCTGCGCACCACGAGGAAGAGTGGCCCCCGCTCGCCGCAACTACAGAAAGCCCACGCACAGAAACTAAGACCCAACACAGCCATAAATTAATAAATTAATTAAATAAATGACGTAAATTATAAAAACAAACAAACAAACAAAGCAACAGTACAGGGACTTAATTCTGCTGTCACAAAAGCCTTCACAGAGGTGACCATTGGTGTCCTAGTGGGTTTTGAAGAATAAATAGGAGTTCACCAAAAGGGAAAAAGATGGCAAATGTTTCACAGAGGGAAGAGCACGAGCAACAGTTTGGAGACCTGCCATAGCACTTGTGTGCTTTCGAAGGTGGTGTGGATGCAAGCTCTAGACGACAGTAGTCCCTCTAACCGTGTTACACAACTCTCTATACCTCAGTCTCTCCACGATAAAGTATAATAATTCCTCTCTCGTGGGTTGTTAGGAGAGTTAAACAAGAATGTAAAGTACTCAGCTCAGCCATATGATAAGGGCTCAACAATCTTAGCCATCGTTGTTATGACTAGTCTGGCCTGAGTGTGAAGTGTAAAGAGGTGGGCATGGGAATGAAGCCGGGAGATGTTACGAGTTGGATAGTAGAAGACTTTGATGGCTCCAATAAGAAGTGTGGCTGTAAAAAAAAAAAAAAAAAAAAGAAGTGTGGCTCTCATCCTGAAGGACTTTGGAGAGCCTTTTATTAAATGGCTCTGAAATGACCTGATCAGATTTGTGTGCCGTGGGAAGGATGAGGGTGGAGACGTGAGACCAGCTGGGAGGCCACCTCAGAAACCCAGTGAAGGACCAACAAAGGCATGAAGTGAAAGGTCTTGGGCACTGTGGGAAGTATGTATGTATGTGGGGTAGTGTTGGCGGGGGGACGGGTGCTGTGGAGACAGACTGAAGAAATATTTAGGAGTGGTCACAAGCACCACTGGACACGAACTCCAGCAAGCTGTTATGGCCAATCAGACAGGCCCCTGGCTTGTGAATCGGGGAACAGGCCAGGTATCTTGGAGTGATTTTTAGCTATCCCCAAAATAGAACCATATTGGAAATGACTAGTTAATAGCAACCTAACCTAGGCACATACCCGAAAAAGCAGCACACAGAGTCACTGGGATAAGCATGTGAACAGGACACAGTGCTCTGGTCCTCACAGAGCACAGCCTGGCTTGTTAGCATACTTCGTAGCAACACAGCCACCTGCCAAGTTTCTTTCTTTATCTCAACCCTGCCAGGGAAGCCACCAAAAATTCCCCTTTTAGTCCCCTTTCTTCCTAGGGAGGGACTAGGACCGTTGGGTCCGTACTGAGTGCCAAAGCCTAGTGCCTGCTGTTTTATAGACTTTATTTTGCTGAATTCTCACAATAGCACAAACGTTTCCTGGATGCCCAAATGCAAAGCCTGAGTTCTTCCTCACTGTCCAGGAGACTGACAGGGGCTAAAGGGTACCCCTGTCTCCCTCAATCCATGTCTAGCTGGGCACAAAGCAGGAGTGCAATAACTATTCGAGAGAACATGGAAAGGATGTGCCTTAGACTATTTCAGAGTCTCAGGCAGCTTCTTCCACCCCATCAGCTTGTGGGTCCAAAGCCATCTCATCCCATCAGCTTGCCTCATCCTCATCAGCCCACACAGCCTTCCCTCCCTCTGAGGGAGCTGTAACCCTGAGCTTCATGAATGAGTCCTTTGACACTCGCTTCCCTGCCTGGAACCTGTTGGTGGTGGACTCTGTGTCAGACCCAAGGATGGAGCACAGAGTGTCGGATTCCTAAGACATTATTGCTCTATAGACAGCCTGGCTTTAAGTCAGTGTGGCTCTTTTTGGGACCCCTAATATGTAGTTTACCTCTTTTCACTACAGTAGTTTTCTCTTTAAGAAACAGAAAGGGAGTTCCTCGGAGTCAGAGAGATGAGTAAAGCATACTTGAACGACACTGTTCTGCCCTCATCAACTGCCCACCAGTGTCCTGCACAGAAGGGGTGACTTCTCTGCCTTCCTGGACCACCCCCAAAGTTAGGCTAGCTTTTGCTCCCTCTTTGTTTTCAAGTTCTAATCCCTTATCACGAAGTCTGACTCTCAGGCACCACTTCCTCCTGAGTCCTTGGGGCGCTCAGTGAAATATGAGTCCCACTGAGCTACCCCCTTCCCAGAGTCCTGGGGTGAGGGTGCAGATCAGGGCTCCCTAAGTGTATCGTGTGGCTTGTCTCCTATCTGTGTTGTAAGCTACAGCAGACTTGGACCCATCTCCACACCCGTGTGTACCATGCTAACGGAACAGCCCCTCACATTTGCTAGAGCCTTACAAGGTACCGGTCTGTGCCTTAGCTCATCTGAGCCCCATAATGACTTTATGACCAAAGCAAAGGCAGTGTTACTATTTTTTAATAACATCTTTTCCCTGCATGCTTTTGTAGAAAATTTGGAAACTCTAGGAAGTCCACAGGAGGAAAAAAAACCTCCAGCAACTAGGAATTTCAACAGACAGACAGTATTTTTCCTTATTTCCTTCCAATTTTTCTGTGCACTTATATTCACCTGTTTTCTCTCCTCTTTCCTCCACTGTCTACCCTGCTATTATTCATCTTTATTATTCTCTAGGGCAGGTATTATTATCCCCATTTTACAGATGATGATAGTTTAAGCTCAAAGTCACACAACTAATAAGTGGCAGAACTGGGCACAGTTCTCCTCATTGCTAGTCTAATGCAATAGTAGGAATTCAATTCACAACTATTGAATTCGGGAAGAGAAATAAGATTATTTATAGGGTGTTTGTTTAAGGGGCAACCTGGAGCTTGTGAAATCTGCCTGAAATGTTAGATCAGTGGTCCGGTGAAAAAGGAGCTTGGATGGAATTCAGAAGAAACAATCTTTAATGAAGAATAATAGAGCCTTTGATTTTTCCCCCTCTTGTACCCTCAAACAGATACTGACAAGTTAAAGAACACGATGCAGCTGGCAGAGTCAAGGATCAGTGAAATCACTAACAGCATGGAGCACGCTACTGTTTCCCGGAACCCCCGCATCCACTACAACCCTGGCCTGGATGTCAAACTCCTCTACCTCCCCTTGGCTAAGTTTCCCACCCCTGTGACAGATTTCATCCTGAGGCGGTACCTTCCAAGGCCAGCAGACAGTGTCCGAGCTGGGGAAGCCCAAGGGGTGGTCAGTGGAGTATGGAGGGGAAGGCACTGTAGGGTCACATGAGGGGGTATCAGATGTTCTGGGGACACCTTGCTTGGCTGACACCTACCTGTTGGTGGTGAATTTATGGATAACTTCTAACAGAAGGTGTTCCTACTCACTGGGGCCTCACAGAAACCTGAGGGGGCCTTTACAGGTTCAAAGACCTGCAGCCTGGCCCCAAGAACATCTGTCACCCAATCAGGATATGGCTTTTTCTTGACCTGGAGGAGTCAAGGAGAGGAAAACTAGTTCCTGCTGAATCATGAGCCTCCCTCAGTTATCACCACCACTGGGAAATTTTGTGGGATTATGTAGCCCACAGGAGAACTCAACCACTTTCCTCTCGTGTCTCTAAATATGCATTAACCTTATTCACATAAACCATTATTTGAAGTATGTAGTAGGACAAACAGGGAGGGCAAGATTATATCATGCAAAAGTTTATCATAGTATTTTCTCTCTCTTTTATGGATTTCTATATCCATAGGTGATTGGGACTCCCATGAAGTAACACTCGTTTGTTTAATCACCATTGATTAATTCTTCAAATATTACCTGAGTGCCTACTATAGACGAGGCCCTGTGTAGGTGCTAGAAGCATAGAAATATGATTGAATCATGGTCTTGGTTTTTCCCTCTTTATTTTGTGGTTTTGTTTTTGTATTTTAGCACAATATCTAGTAGCAGAGACAGGATAGCGATAGAAGAAACAGAAATCAGAAAATCAAATTTTTGGAGCTACGAGGAACACTAGAGTTTATCTAATTCAGTAGTTCCCCAGCTTGGCTGTGTATATCATAATCACCTGGTTAATTAAAACACAGATTCCTGGGCCTTGGTGTTAGAAAATCTGATTCATTAGGCTTGGGTGGGGCCCAGAAATCTGTATTTGTCAAAAGGACCTAGATGATTCTGATGCATCTGGGCACTTGGAAACTGCTGATAGTTCCATAGGAGTGACTAATGCTCAGAGGAGGAAGTGACTTATGGGAGGTCCCCTAGCATCATAGCCTTGACAGAACTCAGGTGTTTAGATTCCCAGGCTAGGATTTTAGTTACAGGAGAATAAATTCCCGTAATTAGTAACGTTGTCCAAAAAGTCAGGAAACGATGGGCTTCCCTGGTGGCGCAGTGGTTGAGAGTCCGCCTGCCGATGCAGGGGACATGGGTTCGTGCCCCGGTCCGGGAAGATCCCACGTGCCACGGAGCGGCTGGGCCCATGAGCCATGGCCTCTGGGCCTGCGCGTCCGGAGCCTGTGCTCTGCAACGGGAGAGGCCACAACAGTGATAGGCCCGCATACCGCAAAAAAAAAAAAAGTCATGAAACGAAATTATTATTCTTTAAAAATCCTTAAACTTCTGAGCCATATGAAGTTCTATTGAAAAGACTTTTGATCTTGAGGAGTGATCACGTAATAAAGGTCAAATGTGAATTTTTAAAATTAAAATGTCTTTAGTTGGTGTCTCTTCAACATCCAGCTGAACTTGAAAATAATTAAATGTAACTTAATCACATCTGCTGAAGACCCCTTTTCCAAGGAAGGTAACATTCACAGGTTCTAAGGATTAGGGTGTGGACGTATTTTTTGGAGGGCCACCATACAACCCACTAAGTCTGTTATTTGCATCACGTCTATTCCTGGCACCAAATTCTCTGTATCAGGTAGGATGCATTGAGCAGCAAGTAACAGAAAAGTCAACTCACATTGGTTTAAACAACAAAGAAAGAGTTAGGGCAGGACCCCATAGCTAAATGATAACTGCATCATCTTTCTGCTTCTTTGCTCTGGCATCCACAGTTTAGTCTTTACCCTAAATCCAATTACCTTTATTGTTGTGGCACGACTGCCAGTGGCAACGGGAACTCTGTGCTTCCTCATTCACAACTTATAAGAAAAGAGAGAGCCTGTCTTTCCATGACGCTAAAGATTTAGGAAGTTTCTTTCCCAGAGCCCTCACTGAGGCTTTCCTTAAATCTCTTTGACCCAGGGACTTCCCTGGTGGCACAGTGCTTAAGAATCCTCCTGCCAATGCGGGGGACAGAGGTTCGAGCCCTGGTCTGGGACATGCCACAGAGCAACTAAGCCCGTGCACCACAACTGCAGAGCCTGTGCTCTAGAGCCCGTAAGCCACAACTACTGAGCCCTCGTGCCACAACTACTGAAGCCCATGCGCCTAGAGCCCGCGCTTCGCAAAAGAGAAGCCACCTCAATGGGAAGCCCGTGCACCCCAACGAAGAGTAGCCCCTGCTCACCGCAACTAAAGAAAGCCTGCACATGGCAACGAAGACCCAACGATGAAGACCCAATGCAGCCAAAAATAAATAAATAAATAAATTTATATTTAAAAAAAAATCACATTGACCCAAATGAGACCTGGATGGCTTAGGTTTGTCCATCTGTGGACCAGTCACTGACAAGGGGGTAAATTGCCACGAATTGTTTAGATCAATCACAAGACAGAATGGGAATGTTGGGGAGACAGTCACAGTGCCTATTGCCCTGGAACATTCAAACCTCAGACTCCATGCTATTGAGAAGGTTAAATCTAGGTCAAAAATAAATTTTCTTTGTTGAAGACACAAAAATTTACTAGGGGGAGTAGCCATACTACCTATAGCTAGGTAATATTTTGAGATATTAATTTACACATTTTCATTGCTCCTTGGTTTCTTATTTCCCCCTTCCCCACTCAAGCAAGGAGCCAATTTGGTACTTCTTTACCTAGGGTGAGACATCTAATGGAATAGAATAAATACATTTCTTGTACTTTCTCCAGATTTAGTTTCCCCCAACCTTAATATCTTTAATAGGATTTAGGGAAAGAAGCAAAAGGGAATGTGTCTTGTGGGTTTATACAATGTCTCAGAGAAGCAGGGCCTTTCCCCTAAGACTAGAATATTCACTTTGGTTAATTCTGATGAGGGAAGACCAGGGTTCACTTTTTGGTAGTATGTTGGGGAAGTGGCAAGACTCAAGATAGTCCCAGCTGCGTTGTGTGTTTAGGCACATGAGACTCTGGGTGACCTCACAGAAGACATATGTGTCCCACCATGGCAGGAAGGCAGTAGAGATTCACCAGATATAAAGGGCATGTAGGGACTTCCCTGGTGGCGTAGTGGTTAAGAATCCATCTGCCAATGCAGAGGACACGGGTTCGATCCCTGGTCCGGGAAGATCCCACACGCCACGGAGCAACTAAGCCCGTGCGCCACAACTACTGAGCCTGCGCTCTAGACCACAAGCCACAACTACTGAGCCTGTGTGCCACAACTACTGAAGCCCGTGCACCTAGAGCCCATGCTAACGAGAGAAGCCACCGCAATGAGAAGCACGCACACCACAACCAAGAGTAACCCCTGCTCGCCACAACTAGAGAAAGCCCGCACGCAACAATGAAGAGACAACGCAGCCAAAAAAAAAAAAAAAAGGCACTCTGCTTACTTACATTAAAAAAAAAAAAGGCATGTAGACTGGAACAATAAACTTTTTTTTTAAATTTTCTTTTATTTATTTATTTATTTTGGCTGCATTGGGTCTTCGTTGCTGCGTGCGGTCTTTCTCTAGTTGCAGCGAGCAGGGGCTACTCTTCATTGCAGTGCGTGGGCTTCTCATTGCGGTGGCTTCTCTTGTTGCAGAGCACGGGCTCTAGGCACGTGGGCTCAGTAGTTGTGGCTCATGGACTCTAGAGCCCAGGCTCAGTAGTTCTAGCACATGGGCTTAGTTGCTCCGCAGCATGTGGGATCTTCCCAGACCAGGGTTCGAACCAGTGTCCCTGCATTGGCAGGCAGATTCTTAACCACTGTGCCATCAGGGAAGTCCTGGCACAACAGACATTTAAGAGGTAACCTATGCAGATAGAAGACTTAGTTTTTTGCTCTGAGGGCTATTCCCCCACCCCATCATTAATAGTTGAGGTAGTTCTGAATTTGTGGACTGAAATTTATAAGTGCTCCAATTTTACATTTTAGTTTATTTCATATTAGGATCACAACTTTTCTTATATAGCTTTTGTATTTTCCTAGAGTTTTAAATTGGCTTTCCTTTTCTTATTCACTTATTCAGCCTCTTAATCAAATTATTTCCACATTTTTTTTTTTTTTTTTTTTTTTTTTTTGCGGTACGCAGACCTCTCACTGCTGTGGCCTCTTCCGTTGCGGAGTACAGGCTCCGGACGCGCAGGCTCAGTGGCCATGGCTCATGGGCCCAGCCACTCCGTGGCATGTGGGATCTTCCCGGACCGGGGCACGAACCCGTGTCCCCTGCATCGGCAGGCGGACTCTCAGCCACTGCGCCACCAGGGAAGCCCTCCACATTTTTTTTTAAAGCAGAGAAGTAATGTGACCTGATTTAAATTTTTTAAAGATCACTGTAAGAGCTCTTTGGAGACTGAAATGAGGGGACAGTGGTAGAAGCAAGGACACCCTCCAGAGAGACGATTGCATAATCCAAGCAAGAAATTATTGTTACCTTAGGTTAAAGTAGTGGAGTGAGGATGATGAGAATGGATGAAATCAGCGTATAATTCGGTGGTAGAACCATTGAACGATTTTAATCAGTTAGTCTGAATAAATTCAAGAAGAATTTACTGTGCTCTTACTGTGTTCTGGGCATAGTTCTAAATGCCAGAGTTATAGTGGTGGACAAGACAGACAGAGCCCTTGCCCTCAAAGAGTTTCTATTCTGATGGGGGGAGGAGTTGGGGAATAGACATATAAAGAAATGAATGAAATAATTTTATATACTGATAAATGTCATGGAAAAGAGAAAATATAGTAATGTAATTAATAGAAGACCAGGGAGGCTGCTTACCTTTTGAAACAACTAGTTATTGAGGCAAAATTTATATATAACAAAATGCATCCTTTAAATTGTAAAGTTTGATGAGTTTTGACATACGAATATACCTGTGCATCCACCATTAGTCAATATATAGAACATTTCTCTCACCCTAGAAATTTCCCTGGTGCCCTTTTGCAGTTCATCCTCCCTCTCCTCTGCCTTAGCTCCAGATAACCACTGACATGCTTGCTGTCACTATAGATTCATTCTGAGGCTACTTACTTTTAAAGAAGATAATTTTGCTGCCCTTAAGGAATGAGTTGGAATGAACTGGACTGGAGGGGTACAAGAGGAGCAAGACTAGAGATGGTGAGAGAAATGTAACAACAAAATCATAGAAATAATAATAATTAGCATTTATTGGACATTTACTCTGTCCCAAGCACTGTGTTTTCCAAATACTATCCATTTAATTTTTATTTAACCCCTGCAACAAGCCCTGTGGTTTTATCCCTATTTTATAAAGGAGGAAACCAAGACTCAGAAAGTTAAGTGATTTGTACAAGATTACATAGCTAATGGGGTTTCCCTGGTGGCACAGTGGTTAAGAATCCGCCTGCCAATGCAGGGGACATGGGTTTGAGCCCTGGTCCGGGAAGATCCCACATGCTGCAGAGCACCTAATCCCGTGCACCACAACTACTGAGACTGCGTTCTAGAGCCCGCGATCCACAACTACTGAGCCTGCGTGCCACAACTACTGAAGCCCACGCACCTAGAGCCCGTGCTCCGCAACAAGAGAAGCCACCGCGATGAGAAGCCCATGCACCACAACGACGAGTAGCCCCCACTAGCCACCCCTGCTTGCTGCAACTAAAAAGAAAACCTGCGCACAGCAATGAAGACCTAACACAGCCAAAAATTAATTAATTAACTAATTTTAAAAAAAGATTACATAGCTAATAAATGGCAGAGAGGATTCCAGTCCCTGCCGTTCACCACACACTACAATAGCAAACACTTACATAGTGGTTACTGAATACCAGGCACTGTTCTAAGCACTTTAATATTCACAACAACCTTGAAAGAAGGATATTATTATTCAGTTTTAATGAGGAAGAAACTGAGACTCAGAGAGGGTAATTACATACCTTAAAAGTAACTGGCAGAGCAGGTCCTTCTATTTCTGAATGCTATTCGTTGAGCATGTGCTTAATTTCACCCTGGGGAGCACCTCTGTCCACACACATTTGTAGCAGGGTTTTCTAGCCAGCAGCTGTGATGTGGCTTTTGCTTCTGTTTCCATAAACCTTCTGAACCTCTTCTAGCTAGACTTGCATGGGCCTCTCTTCCAGCTCCTTCCCCATGAAAGGAGGGGAGCCTCTGTCCTCCATGGCCTCCTTTTCTCCTATGGGGCATGCCTGCCTTTCCCCTGAGCCTCAGCTGTCTGATCTCCTGTCAACCTCAACTCAGAAGTGATGGGAGGTGGGAGGACAGAGCACCATCCAGAGTAATTGGGACTTGCTGGTCACTGAACTATTGCCTGGCCAGAATATTTGAGATATTCTTGGGCAACGGCAGTGTAAATACTGCATCTGGACCAGAACAAAATGATACAGAGAATTTTAATGCCAAACTTGAAACAATAACAAAATGTTCCTTTTGGAATTTCTGACAGAGGAACAGGAGGAGTGAGGATTTTTTTAAATTGTGTGTGTTTATTTAATAGTCAGGGACAAGTTTCAACCAGGAAATGAATATGAACTGCAAGTAAACAATTTTCAAAGGCAGAATTGAGACTCCACTTAGGAGACATTTCAGAGGGCTTTGTAGGTAAGGAGAGAAATGCCAACTCTTCCAAGGTTGCCGGGAAAGGAGAGATCTGAATTTCTCCTACTGAAGGAGGAGGAAAACTCCCCCAGGGGGTTCTTCCATCTTCTGCACTGTTATCTGCGAAGACCAGTGAGGGGTGAGCCACCTCCAAGACAACTATGACTTAATTGTGACATGGGACTCAGGCTTTGGGAACTTGCTGGCCAGGCAGCTGGACCTGTGAGGCTTGAGGGTGCTGGCTGCGTGTCTGATGGGGAAGGGGGTGCAGCAGCTGAGGAACCAAACGTCAGACAGGCTGGGGACATCCTGGATGTCACCAAGACAACATTGCTGTAGCCACCCACTGAGTAAAGGAGTGTGTGGGGGACAGAGATATGACTTAGGTATATTTCTCTTAATCTGGATGTCCTCTTATTCCAAGTAGTGGCCCCATGAGATGACACCAGTCTATTAAATAAGGGAGAGACACTATCCAGTTATAAAATGAGCTCTTAGTTATTTACTTTGACAGAAAAGAGCAATCATCTGGATCCAAGACAGCAGCTGATTCTACTCAGTCACACTCCATGGCATGTAGCTGTAGGTATATAAACATGCTTCATATAAGTACAAACTATTTAATAACAAATCATGTTTGTATAGCACTTCACAGTGTTACAAAGTTCTTATATATACATTACGCCATGTCCTGTTTCAAGAACTTTGATTTCACCTCAGATCATTTGAATACTTTTAATGTGGAAAAGCAAGACCCACAGCAGAGGTCTTTGCTCAGAGCTCCTGCACATGCTGGTGCAGTGAGACATGGGAGTTGAAGTCTGGATACCTGTGATAAAATTCTCCACTCTGGCGCAGTGGTTGAGAGTCCACCTGCCGATGCAGGGGACACGGGTTCGTGCCCCGGTCCGGGAAGATCCCACATGTCGCAGAGCGGCTGGGCCCGTGAGCCATGGCCGCTGAGCCTGCGTGTCCGGAGCCTGTGCTCCACAATGGGAGAGGCCACGACAGTGAGAGGCCCACGTACCGAAAAAAAAAAAAGTCATCTAACCCCTCAGTGATTCAATGTCTTTCCCAGTAAAGTGGGAATAATAATATCTCCCCTCAAGCGGCTCTGGTAAAGCATACATGAGGTAATGGATATAAAAAACTTTGTAAAGGTGAGGTGGAGCCAGATGATGGAGCTGGGAAGTCACAGGCCAAGCTAGAGAATTGGTGCCCTGTCTTCTGTGCAAATGGGGAGACTTAGCAGTTTATGGAGAGAGGGGGTTCTTTTCCTACTCTCTCCCAAATTTCCCTTGTTCAGCCTGAATCCCCCTAATTTCTAGGACTTTGGACTTCTGTCTGCTGGCAGTGTCCAGCAGATTCCTATCAAAATCTAGAAGAGGAAGGAAACTGTTGACAAGGGGCTACAGGGGTAAATACCTGGGAAAGCAAAGAGAGGGAATAAGTTTCCAAAAGACAGAGGGGAAGGGAATGAGGTGGAAAACATTTCAAAAGAAAGAAACAACTTGACCTGAGCTTATATGAACCACCTGTAGATTCCAGGGTGACAGTTTTTTTGTGATGACTGCATAGTCATGGACACCCCAATGGTCCTGGCTCCAGACTCTTTATAGGAGGGACCTGAGAGAGGCGATTTGGGTGGATTCGGGCACCTGGACGTGCTTTTTGCATGGCAAGCCTTTTATTTCCCTTCAAATAGTGGTTAAAAATCATAGATGTGGAATCAGATTTCCTGGGTTCAAATCCTCATCTGCCTCTTACTAGCTGTATGAACTTGGGCAAATTACTTAATCCCTCTGTGCCTCATTTTCCTCATATGCAAAAATGGAGATAATAATAGTATCTATTGCATAGGGTTGTAGCAACGATTAAATGTGGTAATATGTGGGATGAATTAGGAGATTGGGATCGACATATATACACTAATATGTGTAAAATAGATAACTAACAAGAACCTGCTGTATAAAAAAATAAATAAAATAAAATTCAATAAAAAAGACATGCAAAAAAAAGAAAAGTGTACAGCACATAGAATAGTGCATAGTCCACAGTAAATGCTACGTAATTATATGCTATATGGGAGGACAAATTCTCCCCAAATGATCCATTGGCACCACCGCCGATTATGAGGTTAGTCCCGGCACAATCCCTCACTTCCACTTGCCTTTTCTGCGTTCTTTATGTCCATCCCCACAACCTTGGTGGTCTCATGCAAAGCCTCATGGAACACCCCCCACTCTTCCCAGAGTGGGTCCTGCCCAGACCAGGTCCCATGTTTTGGCTCTTCTCATCATCAGGTGATCTCCATTCCATGGCCTGCTCCCTCTTGGTTATCTATCTCAGAAAGTCATTTCTGTGAAGGGTAGGAGGAGAATTGGAGACCATGAGTACAGGGAGCTCCTCCAAGGAGTTTTGCTCTAATAAGAAACAGAGAAATGGGGCAGTTGCTGGAAGGGAAGCAGAGTCAAGAGACTCCATTCATTTTGAAGATGGGAGAAATAGCATCATGTTTGTGTACTGATGGCAATGATACGATAGAGGGTGAAAGGAAGGAGAGAAAGGAGTGGGTTGCTGAGTTGGTATCTTAGAGTAGGAAAGAGGGGCTGGAAACTTTCAGTAGGAAAGAGTGCATAAGTGGAGGTGTTGGCTCCTGTCCACACCTTAGCTTCTCTCTGAGACTGGTTTCCTCTTCACAGTGACACATGGCCTTTGACATCTCCGAACCTCACATCTCATAGCTTCATCATCATGGAGCCAAGTTAAAAAAAAAAGTACTTGGATCAGATGACAATCCCTGAATCAGTTAATTGTAATCAGGGGTCGAGGGCTCTATCATAAGCCTAGCTTGAGTCAGAGGCCCTTCCCTTGATAAATCAATGGGAGCTGGTGTTGGGTGGGATCTCTAAGATGATGGTATCTTCCATTTAATCCATTTTGCGTTTGTTTTTGCATATGATGTAAGAAAGTAGTCCAGTTTCATTCTTTTATATGTTACTGTCCAATTTGCCCAACACCACTTATTGAAGAGACTGTCTTTTCCCCATTGTATATTTTTGCCTCCTTTGTTGTAGATTAATTGACTATATGAGCATGGATTTATTTCTGGGCTCTCCATTCTGTTCCATTGGTCTATGTGTCTGTTTTTATGCTAGTACCATACTCTTTTGATTACTGTAACTTTGTATTATAGTTTGAAATCAGGAAGTGTGATGTCTCCAGTTTTGTTCTCCCCTCTCGATTACTTTGGTTGTTCAGGGTATTTTGTGATTCCATACAAATTTTAGGATTATTTGTTCTAGCTCTGTGAAAAATGCCGTTGGTGTTTTGATAGGGATTGTATTGAATCTGTAGATTGCCTTGTTTTTTTGTTTTTGTTTTTTTAACAATACTGATTCTTCCAATTCATGAGTATGGTGTATCTTTCCAGTTATTTGTGTCATCTTCTATTTCTTGCCTCAATGTCTTTTAGTTTTCAGAGTACAGGTCTTTCACTTCCTTGGTTAAGTTTATTCCTAGGTATCATTTCTACAATT